GCGGGTTCGGGCTTCGGGGGGGTATTAGGAAGTGCAATATTCGCAGTTGGATCTATAAGACCGGATATCCATGTCTGAATAGCTGGCAAACCGTGGCAGATGTAGGATGCCCCGACGTAGGTGTTAAAATACTTGACTATTTCCTGGATACGCATTAGCCAAGATGCTCATCCACACAACAGGCCTCATGTACCTTGGGATCATTGAGAATTTCAACATCGGTCGGTGCCACCCGCAGCTTTTCCTTGAGGCCATACTGTCGCAGCCAAGTGTCAATCTGCACATCCGATGTCGCTGTTTCTCTTTGGACCTGTCCGGTGGTTAAACGACGGTTACAGTTCACGCAGGGAGACCTACTCGTATTTCATCTGTGCTAATGAGCGGCTGTTGAGCGAAGAAGTGAAAGGTGACGACGAGGTCCACGACTTTTGCTCCGAGTTCTGCGAGGCGATCGGTGTCACCCCAAGTATGATTAGCATGCGAAGCCATGTTCAAGGATTTGTGAGTGTAGACCGCCAGCATAAGGTCGATGTCCCCATCGATCCTGGGGAGAGGGGGGAGAGACATTGTGGTAGGAATTAGGGGGTTGACAGCTGGTATAGGCTCCTTTTATACTGCAGCAGCAACCTCCGAAGCGCTCGACGTCTGCGAGTCATCCAGCACGTGTGAGAAGAGGGGTTGATGATGGGGTTGATCAGCGAATGGATAATCGATAAGAACAAGCGCTCACCGTAGAAAACAAGGGGCAGGTAGAGAATAGAAGACTCCGGCTAAGGAAATCCTCCACCGGCAAGTGTTGTAATGCGGACAGTTTATAGTAGGTCAATTAGAATGCTGCGGTTTGTGTTGGCTTCAGGTCTCAATGGGGAAGGGAGACAAATGAGGAAACGACTTGCCACAACCTTGAAATCGAAGGATTTATGTGGCCGCAGTAGAAACCTTTACACAAAAAGCCCAAGGGAGGCGTTGAGATGACCGGCGTCGGAGGACAAGCACGATGGATTAGCCGAAAATGACTGTTATCTAGAAATTATCTCTCTAAGATAAGATGCAAGTAATACGATCACGTGGAGGGAACAAAGCGCTGCCCTTCGAGTCTCCAGCAGCGAATGCACACTCCGCCCTTCCACACACTGGGTAGCGACTACAACCCATCACCAACGTCGGTCGACACTTTCCTACCGCATATTATCCGCCACGCGAAGCTGTCGCGCGCGGTGGTCGTCCCTAACCATAAGGCTCACATCCAAAACACTACGAGGACCTCTAAAAGCTCTCTGAAACGACTGACGCTTTCCTTGCATATACATTATGGCGACTCCATCTCCCAATAACGCAAAGAACCCACCTTCTAATCCTTTAATACCGGAAAAATACATCGATGTTCCTTCACAGAGGTTGTACTATCTTAGTTTCGGGCTGTTATGCCAGGTGTGTCTTTCGTCTCCTTCACTCCTTCGAATCTCAGCTGTTACCCGTCTAAGGCTATAAAAATTCTTGACTTGATATTGTCAGTCGCCTCTGTTGAAGACCGCATGGCTGTCTGTCGAAAGTGGCTTCTAGTCGACTTTGCCTATTGCGTTCTACTATCCCAACTACGAATCCCCCGACTCACTTACACCAAGGCGACTGTGGTTCTACAGATATGCCTCTTGTGGTTTTTCGATGGGGTCATGTTCGGAGGTATTATTGTCAACCTGCCAACGTTACTGGGGGGGCTGGCGTTTGGTTCAACGTCTTCAGGTGTGTAGCTTGTATACTCGGTGTGAAACAATAGTAACCGGTTCGCAGATATATCCTCCACACCCAGCCCATTCAGCATTCGTGATATCTTATCACCTCTAACCTTTGGATTGATTTCTTCGACATCTTCCGGCAGAGACGCCCATCTTCTCGGGCAACACACCGTCCGAATGTCACCAATTAGCACTGCACACCTGAACCCGCAAGGCGGCAATTTTTGCATATCATCATCGACAGGTTTCGTCCTTCTGCCACTTGTTCTAAACAACACCAACCTGGCGGGATTGAAGTACTCTGTGACGCCTCTTGGGTATCAGAACGGCAAGATCGAAACATACGATCTAACGGTGAAAGACCTGAAACTTATAGAGCAAAATTATCGCGACAAGATGCTTGCCGCTTCCCAGCTTATTCAAGCTGGACGGAATGCCCCCGAATATGATGAATACGATGATGACGATGACGACTCGCGAACAGAAGACGCTCATTCGAAACTACAGCACACCCAATCTCTTATACATATCATGGTCGCTCGAGCTGGCGTCGTTCGTCTAGAACGCGTTTATGACACCTCGAACAATGACGCCCGTCTCGTTCTTTCACAAGCAATCTTGGTTCCGTGCCCTCGTGTCCAATTCGCGAAGGATGATGGACCAGGGTTGGAGCCTATTCGTTGTGCCGGTCAGGTTGCTAACCCACAATTGAAGATCAACGTATATGGAGTTCCTCCGCTGAGTCTCCGATGGCTTAGGAGTGTGAACGGGCAGCGAGACCAGTTCCTGGTCGAGGGCATCGAAGGAGACCACAAGGACGAACCTGCCGACAGTCCATTTGCAGAGTCACAGGATCCCATTGTTGCCCTTACGTCTGCTCCAAGAGTTCCTATTCCACAAGATATCACGGTACCCTTGACCATCTCTTTGGAAAGACCTGGTACCTATCTCTATGCACTGGAGGAAATTATAGACGGTGTTGGAAACGTTATTCGAGTCGGAGGCGACGCAAATCCATCAGAACAAACCTCGAATGTCGCGACCACGACCACTAGATCCTTCATCGTCATTTCCAAGCCCGCCGTGTCATTCTCCCACTGCAGTCCAGATTCTCCCACATCTCTCCTAATCGGCTCTGAGGCTACACTGAGAATTGATGCTTCTCACACTGATGAATTCGACAAGCCTTGGGATCTCAATCTTCAATACCAACCTCCAACTGATGGCGATAGCAAGAGCAAGAAATTAAAGGCATGGAAGAAGACTCTTAAATACAATGGAGACCAGGAGGACCTATCCTTCCGTGCCAATGCACCTGGAGACTACAAGATCGTCGGGTTCAAGGGCAAGGTCAGTCACAAACTTTTACCCGTCCACCCGATGGATTGATTTTGCGTTAGTATTGCACCGGCACAGTGCTAGCGCCCGATACTTGCAAGGTCGTTCAGAGGCCTCTGCCTTCTGCAGAGATTGAATGGAAACGTATTCACGAGTGGTATGTGCAACCATATTGAGATTTTTCCGGTTTGCTCATTGCCTTGTAGCTCAGGAGACACCGGTGTCTCTGCTTCCCTTATCCTTCATGGAACTCCTCCATTCCAGATATACTACCGCACTCAACGCGACAAAGAACCTTCCAGGGAAATTTCCAAAACGTACACCTCTTCGCGTGCAGAGTTGACTCTCCAGCCCGAACGAAGCGGCCACTACGTTTTCACATTTGTCGCCATCAGTGATGCAAATTACAGAAAGATAGAACTTCAAGGACCCAGCATCGACCAGATGATCCATCCTGTTGCTTCAGTTGACTTCGCGGAATCCCATGGCACAGGCAGAGGCAAGCGGCTCGTTAGCACCTGCTCCGGCGACACCGTCGACATCAACGTAGAACTGCGTGTATGTCTTTGCGTTACTTTCTTGTTTTGCCTGCTAAGATCTGTGGTTAGGGCACTGGACCTTGGAATCTTGAAATACAAGTCATTGGGCCTCAGCAAGCTGAAACTTTGCAGATACAAGGAATCGAAGCTGCCAGGAAGACGCTCAAGGTTCCTATCCCCAAGGAACTGCAGAAGAATGGAGGCTCCTTCGAAATCGACCTTGGTTCGTATTTCGGTTCGTTGCGTTATTGCTATGGCTCACAGGATGTGCAGTAAGCGTTGAGGATGCATCCAAGTGCAAGCGTGCGGTGTCAGTACCTGGAGTTGAAGTCAAAGTGAGGAGGGTGATAGTAAGTCATTTCAAAGCTATTGTAGCTCGTTTGAGAAGCTAAGTGCTTGCATTTCAGCCAACAGTTCAATTTTACGGCAAGAGTCATGAACGCCACATAACCGTCACAGAGAATGAAAAGGCAAATCTTCCTCTTCGTTTGACAGGCAACGGGGTGAGCCATTCTCTATTTTACGGATTAACCTTCTCACCTTCTCATCTTCCTCCCATTCCTTCAAACAGCCCTGGCGCCTGAAATATCGGAAAGATGGGTCTGAGAGAGTCATGTCAGCCATGGTATACAACAGGAACAGTGAACTTGAAGTTACTGGCAAAGGGGTCTACGAAATACTCGGGGTCGGTGCTTTACTATCTCAGTCCATTCACTAACCTTTCATTTTCTTCGTCTAGGTCACTGATTCGCAATGCCCAGGAACCGTCGTTGCCGATGCCTCCACGTACACAGTCGATTGGATTCCTAGACCATCGGCTAGACTGTCTTCATCCACAGAGGCTACATTTGACCAGTACAATGGATCTTATATTCTCCATTCCATTTGTGAAGGGGTAAATGGTCATGTAGACCTTGAATTGACTGGTACGAATCAAAACAGTCTTTTATCACCGTTTACTAATTTACCTCCAGGTCGCCCGCCCTTCCAGATCATGTACAACATTGCACAGAACGGCGAATCTGGAGGAACGAAGATCACGGGCCAGCCAACGTTCAACAGCATCCAACCTCGTACGCGCTTCCAACTGCACACATCGACTCCTGGGCGGATGTATTACGAAGTCAAACAAATCGGCGATGCGGCATACCCACTATCCCAAAACAAGGACACCATTATTCCTCGATCAGAAAGGCTCTTGTTCGAACAGCAGGTGTCCGTTCGCCCGTCAGCTCGGTTCAGAAACCGCAACCGGCTCGCGTACTGTCTGAACGACGCGCTGGTCCCGCTCGACCCGAGCTCGGCCGATGGGACGATCATTCTCGAAGGCACGGCGCCTTTCATGGTGGTGTTTTTGATCAAGAATATCGCGGCAAGCCATGTCGACAGGAGGACGGTGACGGTGCCCACCAACACCTGGCGGCTGGACCTGCCGAACTACACCTTCTCGTCGATTGGATCGCATTTTGTCAGCATCGAGACGGTCACGGACGCGTCGAGCTGTGAGCAGGCGGTAGTGGACCCACTCCTTCGCTCCATTTGGGTCGACGTCGCAGAGACGGCGGCCATAATCCCCTTTGAACGTCGCGAAGACATCTGCGTTGGCGATGTTACTCAGTTCCAGCTCGAGGGCATTCCCCCATGGTCAATTGGGTACGTCTCTCGTAATTTGCTCCGTTTTGCCTAGCGAGAACCTAATCGTTGTTTGCAGATATAATGTCAACGGCAAGTCATACACTCAGGAAGCAAAGACATCTCCTTTCTCGCTCCTGCAACAGCAGCCTGGACTGTTTACCGTCACAAGCATCGCGCATCAGCAGAAGATGTGCAAAGCTGCCGTCACAGATCTACGTTTCAACGTTCACGCCCTGCCTTCCGCGCAGGTGGGCCATGGAAAGAAGATCTTCCAAGACATACATGAAGGTTTGTTTTTGATCATTTTTAAACGCGTTGGGGAGGAATTTTATAGGCTTCTGATGCTTACTGAACGTCCATCTCTCTCACAGGTGACCAAGCTGAGATCACGTTTACGCTGATTGGCGAGCCTCCATTCACTTTCACTTACCAACGAACCGAGCTTCCTACGAAGAAAGGAGGACCCGTAAAGGTTCTAGAAACGCATACCGTATCTCGCGTGCAGACCAACCAGTATTCGATTTTCTCGGCTCTAGAAGGTTCGTCAGCTGCTCACAAGGAATCGAACTGGTCCCTGATTTTCTGTGCAGGAACATGGACTGTAACGTCAATTTCGGATCGATACTGCCGTTATCCTCCAACCCAACCCGAGTTGGCCGTAGAAAAGCACAGATAGACGCTCTTGTTGGATGTTGTGTCACTGCTTTCTGTATGATATCTTGAAGACTTAATATCGGCAACCCTTTAGGGTTCAGCACGCATCTTGCGAGATAGGATCGAATTGTTGTTTATTCAAGGAGAGTTCGTATCCTTGTCTAGTTCCTCCATGTGTCCATGCCTTACACTTGGGCAGATGAGATGTAAAACCATTTCGAAACTAGGAGAACTGTCAGTAGGTCTACGACGCGGTGAAAGTGCCGACCTACCAGAAGGTTCGATGGGTTCAGGAGCGCGTCCGGAAGGAGGAGGAAGGCTGGTATACGAAGGATCGTCCCTCCTGACGAAGCCAGGAGAGTTTTGGATGGTGACATTGCGGCTATTCAAAGATTAGATAAGATGTTCGCTAGAAGAAATCGAAACAAGGGCGTACATGGAAATGTCGTAGGAAGCAGTCCTGGCGGGAGTGTCGCCGTGGATCAACTTGCGCCAGGCTTCATGGCACTCGTGAATGATCTCCATGGCATACTTTTTGTTCTTCGCCTCGCCAGAGAATGCGAAGGTGTTCTCGGGCTTGCCATCGGGAATCTTGTAGATCCTGCACGAACAACGAAAGTTAGCACCGAGTAAAACCGGAAAAAGGCGGATATATGCACCTGAACCATTCATTCGTGGCGCGGATAAGGCCGGGCAAGTGCCTCTCGACGTCCTCAATGTCGTTCAGCTTGGAGGCGAGGGGATCCTGAACGTCGACGACGATGACCTTCCAGTCGGTCTCGCCCTCGTCAAGGAGTGCCATGATGCCGAGTACCTTGACCTGCTTGACCTGGCCGACGTAGCCAACCTGCTCACCAATCTCGCCAATCTCGCAGACA